CTAGCCCACTCCCTTGAAAGCCTAACCCTCAACCCAAGCTACCCCAATTGGTTTATGGATACCGGAGCATCCCACCACATCACCTCTGACCCAGGTACTTTATCTCATGTAATTACTTCAAGCATTAATTCTCCCTCGCATATTATTGTTGGTAATGGTTCTAAAGTGAGCACTACTGGTTTTGGTAAGGGCACCCTTCCCACCTCCCCTCCCCTAACCCTAAACAATGTCATAGTCTCCCCCCATATCATACATAATCTCATTTCTGTCCGTCAGTTTACTCATGATAATAATTGCACTGTTGAATTTGACTCTTGTGGTTTCTCTGTAAAGGACAAATTGACGGGAGCCGTGATTCATCGATCCAATAGCGACTCTTTACCCTATCTCGCAAGCGACGCCCAACGCCTCTCTCCATCTGGCCCAAGTCGATCTCTCCACCTGGCATCGTCGGCTTGGACACCCCAGCCCCGCTGTTCTCCATGGCGTGTCCTCTTCTTTAGCTAGCCTTCCTAGATCAAAATTAGATTTTTTATGTCATGCATGTCAACTAGGCAAACATGTTCGCCTACCTTTTTCTTCGTCAAATCGTGTTTCAACTTTTCCTTTTCAATTAATGCACACTGATTTATGGCAATCTCCTGTTCCTAGCATAACTGGTTTTAAATTTTATATGCTCTTATTAGATGATTTTTCACATTACTTATGGGTTTTTCCCCTTCGCCACAAATCTGATGCTTACTCTCATCTTGTAAAATTTCATGCTCTTGTTAGAAATCAATTTAATACAACAATAAAATCTGTACAATGTGATAATGGCACTGAATATAGAAATAACCCCCTTGCCACATTTTTTGAATCCCTAGGCATACTCTTCCGTTTCTCCTGCCCTCACACGAGCCAACAAAATGGCCGTGCAGAACGCACCATCCGCACCATCAATAACACCATTCGCACTCTTCTCTTCCAAGCTAACCTTCCCCCTCACTTTTGGGTAGAAGCCCTACACATGGCCACTCACCTCTTTAATATTCTTCCCACCACCACTCTTAACAATCGCACTCCTTATGAAGCTCTATATCGCACTCCCCCGTCCTACACCCACCTCCGCGTCTTCGGATGCCTCTGCTACCCCAACCTCTCTGCTACCGCCCCCCACAAACTCGCCCCTCGTTCTACTAAGTGCATCTTCCTTGGTTACCCAGAGGCCCAGC